AGATGAGACCAGTGATGGAGAAATCAGCGGCAACCGGCGCAAGAACGCTATTTCCAATCATGTATGAACAGGGCTTCCCACAAGACATAGAAACGGAACAGGGCACCTAGTGTCCAGAGCATACCAATCTAGTACGTAATGGGAGCCAATGAGTGATAACACAGAGACCTCACACCCTTATTAAAAGGAAACTCGTTGAACAAAATCCAAGCAATTGGTGTTCTACATTTTCCTCTCGTTCTAGTGGATCCCAACATAAATTTATCAAAAAGGTATAGAACACTTCGGTTCAATATGTACTTTGGACGGAGATGAGACGAAACCACCTAGTTGATTTCCAAACATCAGTAGACGCACCTGGCACAAGAGCACCATGGGAATCGCGACTGGTAAATCTAAAAGAGTCGATCATACCAAAGCTAGACACGAATGCTGCGCAATACCTAAAGAAAATGCGCTCAACGTATCACCGAAAATACCAAAAAGAAGTACGTACACTCCCAGGAAGGGAGCAATGTAATTGTTTGTTGTCAAGGTGAAATGAATAAAATGACAGCAACATGGCGAAACATACAAAATAGTAGGCAAGGGGGCCAACGGGTATTTTGTTTGTAACCTTCACGAATCTAAAGCCTCAGAATATCCTAACTAGGTCAGTGATGAAATAGTCGGACTAGTAAAGAAGGCCAATGCTTCGAAGGAATTTACTCCCAACAGCCGCATACAACCAGCTGAGGACGCACAATACAGATGGGGAGCGTATCTGGACGTATGAAACAGACATCACAGAAGTTGATGTCTTTACACATTACCGGCAACGCACCGGACGCAAGCGAAGACAACCCCAATCGACGAAATCAACAGCAACGAGCACTGATGAACGATCAGCGAGCAACAGGAAGTGCACGCTTAACCGAGTTTTACTGATACTGAAGAGCACTCCCACTTTTCTCACCTTGAAGCATGTTCCGCCCACAATCCAGAAGGATATGTACCAAGGACTCGGTTGTAGAACCATACACTGTTGAGATGCGTTTTCTCAAGTCAAGTTGATATCAACCGAGAGCACAGGTCAAGACTGTGCGTTGTTAAGAAATTCCATCATAAAAATAGTTTAATTAGGACTATATACGTATTAGAATAGATAATAGCGGCAAGTTTTTTAATCTTAAACCCCTAAGGGACAAGTTTTTCCATATACAAAACTCCAACTTCAAAAAAGTTCAGTACTGTAATATCCTACGCAGGCACAGAAGTACATAGTAAGGGGAGTGTAGTAACTAGAGACCAGATTAGCAAAAAGCAATACAAAACTCACAACTGTGCTATTATCAATTATTGAGTTTTGGGGTCCGAATCCGATATTCCTGATATTAGAGTCATCAGAAATTGAGTTGGATTACCGGTAGATGATACAGGGACACCGAGAGAGAAGCACTCAAGTAGAATCAGAGTCTAGTGTAGAAACACAAATTATAAAATGGAGCCTCAATGTGAGTCCTTCAGCCTAGGACTTTTACCTAGCTGAGACAATCGTACTTAAAGAAGAGGTCTATTGTTTCCTTTGGTCGTATCTTGTCAGTTGCTCTCAAACTTAACATTCTGATACTGCTCTGATATACACACAGCCCATACGATTGTAGCAAGGACTAAATCCTTTCAGTTTATCAGCGGCCAGCCCTACTGAGTACGTACAAAAGCAATTACGAACAGATAGTACTGCCTTGTCGCCTGTACCATGGGAATTACCTACAATGAGTACATAGATCACATTTAAAAATCTCATCACACAAACCTTAATACATCACCTCTCACACACATGAGCAACACCTCCTTGTTCTTTTCATCTAGAACCTACTGGCTACGTACAAAAGGGATCACTGACAGATAGTACCACATTGTCTCCCGTACCGGGATACATCTTTACCCGTAAAATACGTAGATCCCATTTTATAGTCTTATCGCATAGACCATAGTACATCACACCCTTCACGCTCATGGGTAGTACCTTCTTGTTCTCTTCATCTAGAACCTACTGAATACGCTTAAAAAGAATCATTGTCAGATAATACTACCTTGTCGCCCGTCACCAGGATCCTTACCTATAATGAATACACAGATCACATTTATAAATCTCATCGCATAGACAATACACCACCATTCACGTACACGAGCAGCATCTTCTCGTTCACTTCATGTAGGCAGTTGTAGTTGTAGTATAGTTTAAATCCACACTCCCACGAGTCTATTGCTCGCGAGCTCTCTGTGTATATCCGGACGCATCGAAGTTCTGTTTGTCTGTATTCGTAATGTTAGCTAACTTGTTAATTACAGTATAATCATATGAAAGAAATTCACACTTATTAAAGTGCAAGTGCACATCTTCCTCTATCTGTATACGTGAAGCCAACAGTGCCTTGGGCGCTACTAGTAATACATAGTACCTCTTCAAACACGCCAAATAAGTACGCTATAGGATTGTTGTCTTCGTACTCTTTTGGTATCTTGATAGAATGTTCGCGTGAATATTGTATATGTTCGAACATAATTCTACGAAGTAAAGTTAACCATTTCCTTTTCGAATTCGATACAAGCGGTCCTAAACCGATATTGTCGCTCCATACTAGTGTTCACGGAAAGGCTGTGATATCATGCATATGTCCACTTATCCAATTTCTGACTTGCTTCGTATTCATGTCAAAAATGAGAGGGGATATCTTGGTGTGTGCCTGTTCGATAGTAAGTTACAGTAATATGATCTTTTGTTCGTGTACTATCTATAGAAAAAGTATGAATTGCTCGGCGAATGTACGGTATACTTGCTGTACAAAGAATATCAATTTAGTATAAATTGGTTTATCTAGATACGCATCTATTAATGCTTGGTTACTTTTGTGCAGCATCTGTAAACCTTTCAGCACACTGGCGGGCTGGTGTGACTGCTCTAACAGGTTGCACAATTTACGTGACTGAATCTTAGTTTTGTTTCGGTAATAAGTCTTCGTCAATAGTGCTGCTATAAGAATTACTCTATCAACCCAACTACGCACGATGCTATGCGGAATACACTTAAGCTTCGTAGCCGAATCATCCAATACAATCTGGACGGCCGTGGGTGTGCGCTATGATACTTATAATACCTTTGCAAACCCAACTTGCCAACGGTTGTCGATCACAAGATTAACACAGCCTAGCACTGTATAGTCGGTGTCATAGGCCATTATTTGTCAAAATATCACTCCGTTTGCAAAGCTTAAATTTACGCCTCAGCCTCCGGTGGTGCTACTATGTGCTCGATTTCCAGGTCATTACTACAAAAGCTTTATGAACATTAGGGCTCATTCTATATTGTATGCACGAACAACGCAATAACAAGATTATGTTCGTCAAAGTCTTTAAAAGGTGGTTGTTTTTGTAGTTGTGTGTTTATAGTGTCGAGCGTAACTGTAAAGGTACGACCGAAGAAAACAATGCACCTCTTCTCAAGTACGCTTCTCTCAGTTAAGAAAAGCCCAAATTGAGAGAAGCGCACCAATTCTTCAGTTGTGATTTTTATTTAATATTTCACGAGACTCAGATTTTCACTTAAACGTTTCTCTCACGCGGGACTCCGGTTAGCAGGTACCAGTTTCTTGCCGGATTCCTGACGAATCTAGTATCAGGAATATAGTATTTATGTCCAGAGCAATTTTTTTAGGTATTGGGAATCCTGTAGAATTGGGATTTAGATTTTTGGCTTTTTGGCTTATCTAATACACGAGCTTCCCACCCACCCTAAACTCGTCGAATACTAGAAGCACTGTTTTGATACCATTGTCGGCACTCTGTATCTTTCTCGGCGACGAAGCACAGTCTTGTAGGAAACTGTAACTACGTTCGAGCACTATCTCTGATGCATGCTGCTGTGCAATGTGTGTGTATTTTAAACGTGCGTCCATAGCTACAGTCCCTGCGAAGTAAGACACATACATCAATACGCATACAGTCTATCAATGGTTTGAGACCTGCAACTCTCATATTGACGAAATCGTATACGCTAGTTAAACATATGTATATGTACATAGGTGAGCAAATCTTTATCTCGCATCTTTACAGTTAAATTGGTGTACATGTTATTAAAATGCAAACACTCTTAGCTTTAAAAATAGGAAGATACAAATTCAGTATAGGGGAAGTATTGAAAAACGCTATATCAAAATTGTTCAAAGAAACATACATATATCGTTTTCCTTAGACCAAGAAGTTAGAGAGGGAGAGAGAGAGATAGGACTCGAGAGGACTCGAGTCAAGTGTTCACATAGTTCGTGACCTACTTGTGTGTGTATTTTGGGACTAATTTGCCATTTAATATGTAGGTTTTATTTATCCCAGAACACCCTGGAGTGAAGAAGTATGTCCTGGAATACTGAATACAGAATGTGACCCTGCTCTAAACGTACCCTGAGCTATCACAGCCGCCCAGGTATAATAGCCACGCTTCCATATCGACTGGGCGACGATTAGTACGAAACGGTGAATTAAGTATGCACCAGATAAAAAATAGCGAAATTCTTGAACACAACACGAGCAAACGCGTTTGTTGGCATATGGCGGACAGTGGTTCCGCTAACTAAAAGTCTCTGGATTCAGTGTCGAGTTGCAAACCCACAAAACCAGACGGCTGTACATGGGTACAGAATAACAATGCGATTTCAGATTTTTTTTGTGACCAACTCAGCGTGGAGTTGTGTACATTGCACAGCGACAACATTGGAATGAAAGTCAATATTTGGGTATATCCTACGTTTTATAAAAAAAATTGTACACCTCGAATCTCACAGCCTTGATTGGTATGATATAATTCCATGGATTTTTGCAAGGCTTCATGGTTCACATGATGTATCCAGCACATAGATGAATATATTTACAAATTTTACAGACGCACCTACAAATATCAAAATCTTCATATATTTTTCGTTTGTTTGAACTTAACGTCACTTTTATGATATTTATATATCCCTATAGCTACGTAATCATCTATTTGAAATTTATGGTTCCTCCCTGGAGTCAAAGCTGGTGGTACAAATGGCCCTTTCAATTCAATCCAGTATTTATTGATTGTCCCTCTATATTTATGGTCGCATATCTCTCAGAAAAGTGCTTTACCGGGTACCTCTACAAAACCACTGTAAACTTGTATCGAAAGCCGTTTCTGAAAGTCATATTTAATCGGATTCGGACAGCTCAGGCGGCAATAAAGGAAGGGCCGATAGGACACTTCGGCAGACCGATGTCCTACGCCATGGAATACCAGTTGAGTTGTCTGGATAGCACGGCCAAGACACATTAAGCCATATCCACTCAAGTGTATGCCAAGGCCATATTTTTCTTTTAGTGAACCGTGTGAGACTTCCCACGTGTCTCTATGCCTTTTCAGCCTTAGGATCGACCCACAAATCGTCTACAACGTCGAAGTGGAGCTGGTTGTGAAACTCCAATTCATACATCTCATCAAAGCGTATATCGCATATGCGGCATATGTACTCATCCTCTTCTATCTCGGCCTCAGCCTGTGCCTGCCGCTCGGCACTTGCATATGCTCTGGGCGATACTTCCCGCCCATCCAGGTCCACCGTCACAGTTCCTTTTCTATTCCGACGACGCCGGCTACTCACTCGCATGCCATTCGCTCCCACTGCTCGCTGAGTAGATTCCTTTCCACTGCTTGACTCCTTATGCTTCTGCACGACCTTCACCTTGGCTTTTGCCACAGGCGCAACTCCAGCGCTCCCACTTGCAGTTTTACCGGCTTCAGAATTCGCCTGTTCACTACCTGTGTCTTTCGCTTGCGCATTCACATCGGCGGCTGATAACGTCTCGTGGGTCCCTACAAATTGAGCATCGGACGTCTCAGACGCGGTTTTGGTACCAGATGCTAGATCTTGTACTGACATCGGTATATCCGTCTGACCATGTGTGTCACTGACCGGCTGAGCGGACTTCTGAGCAACCCTAGCCTCCGCTACATTGTCGGTAGCGGTGACCTGATCACTGAACGGGCACTTACTAGAGGCTTTCTTGCCATTCTTTCCCTTATCGCCACTTCTACGGCTGGATTTCTGGGTATGTGCCTTGGGTAGTGGTCTGACCTTTGGTTGTGGCCGGGGCAGTTGGTATAGTGCGTTGCCAGACCCATTTGCGGCCCGAATTGCCTGAGCCTTATCAGACCTCTTCTTCTGAGCATCAATTCCTAATGACGAGTCTTTCTGAGGCTCACTTCCTAACGACGAGTCTTTCTGAGCCTCATTCACCACTGCTGTTGTAGCCGTTTTGGGGTTTTTAGAACCGGGAGTATCCGAGTTAGTTTTACCTTGAACAGTTGTATGTGATACCTTCTCCATACCCGCAGACACTGCCTCCTGAACGTATGGTTGTACCTGGCGAGATGCATTTGCCCTGCGAGATGCTCTGGGCGACCTCTTTCTCCCCGCCGCGTGTGGTACACTGTTGGCCAGGTCACGCCCGTCAAATCTCGCTTGCCCAAGGTGTTTTTCAGTGTTAACTTTCTTGTCTGAAGCCTGTTGTACGGGAGCAGTAGCTGTTCCGTTGTCCACATTCTCTTTCGAGTTTCGACCGTCTGCTTGCCGTTTGCGACGGCTATCCACTCCATCTCTAAGATGTGGTTGTGTCTGTTGTTTGCTAGGACTGCTTGCGGCCCTCTTAGACTGCACTGTGGATGAGAGTGCCGTGTCTGTCTGCGTTTCCGCCACTATAACTTCTATTGCGGTACCTACAGACGCCCTCGAATCACCTGCAGACATAGATACCTCAGCGCCATTGTGTCTATCAGGTAGGTCCATCGCACTCTCCAGTGTTTTACGGAGCCGCTTGCTACTACTATACCGAGCCGAGCCACTAACTTCGCTGTTTATATCGGCCGTCCTTCCTCGTTTCGCGCCACGACGGGTGGCCCTTGGACTGTACTTATGGGCTGACACAGACACAGCTACCGTCGGTACCTCTGTCACAGGCCCATGTGTATCTCGTATCTCTCCCAGAGCTACCTCTTTGCTCGTGGGCTTCTCCAGCTCTGACTCGATACCAGTATTCACAGGCCCTTCCCCCGCCGCACTGGCATCAGCTCTAACATTCGGCGAACCCGAGTCACCGTCTACGTCCATAGCGGTAACACCTGTGGTCTCCCTAGACGTGCTCACCGTTTGACTATGCCGCTCAGTCTTCTCATCCGCCACAGCATCCCCACGCGACTGTACGGGTAATTTGGCTGCTTTCTTAGCAGCCTGTTTGGCCTTTCGAGTCTCTCCAGGCCTATTTGGCCTATTCGGCCGGTTTTGGAAGATCTGAGCGGCCTTCTCATCTGGCAGGGGTGCCGTAAGATCAATCTCAGGTGCAGCCCCGTGAGCTCGCGTGGTGCGGGGCTTGTATTTGGATTTGTGGTGTACCTCCTTTTCTACTACCGGTTGTGCTGGCACCGATTCTCCCACAACAGATGGAACTATCTTGTCCTCGACAGGTTGTGCTTGTGATTTCTTCTCCCGCTGCGCCTTCTCCTCTATGACTGGTTGTACCTTTTTCTCTACTTCTATCACGACCGGTGGTTGCTTCACTGCGACAAGTGGCGCTCGCGACTTTCCTGCAGCAGAAGGTACGGTGTCAGTGATCGCCGGAGACACTCCATTCCCATACAACCCGCTCGATTTGGGCTTAGACAGTGCGCGCCTGTGTCTCATATCCACGTGTCCGCTTCCCTTTGTTATCCCGGCAGCCTTTCCCCCCTTCTCACTATTGTTGGGTGTGAGTGAACTCACACCACTCCCACCAGGCCCCGGGCTCAATTTGCGCCACCCAGGGCTCTTTTTCGGTGTCAGTGGATGTGCACTTTTTCCACCATATCCAGGGTTCCGGTTACCGGCATTGCGCAACCGCCCGGTAATTGCACTTCTAGCCGCTTCAGCGCGTGTCTGTCGGGGTTTGTACTTGCCTTCTGACTTATGGTTAACGTCTTCTCTGCCGTTTGCTTTTGTGGCTGTAGTGCTTATCGTCTTAGCATTGTGAACAACAGTGTGGTGGTCTGCATTGCCACTAGCGGGTCCACGAGTGTGTGTTTCCTGCACATGGTCTGCGGGAGCTTTCCCTTCCAATTCTCGTCCCGATGTGCGAGGCGGTCTCTCAGATTGCGATGTCACAGCCGCACCTTGACGCCGAGACGCACGCGTGGGCTGAGTACTGTTGCTATTGCGACTACCCCCTCCACGGCCGAAGTCTTCCTCTAAACGAGCCCCTTTCAAAATGCTGGCTCCTTCCATGATACTGGTATCCCCATCCTGGATATCGGCCATACCCATACCTTGGGTCACCTGACCCCTGGTGTCAGATCCTCTCATAGTTCGTCGTGCGTTGATGGACGGAATACTCTCAGTGGTATAGGTATTCTGAGCTTCTCTGAGTTTGGCTGTTTCTGCAACGCGACCGCAACGCAGCGCACAGTTATCCTTGTGGCCATCTCGCCGCCAGTTGGTTCTCTGAAATAGAAATATTCATGGAGGAATATTTGGATAAGAACACTGCATTGTCCATGGTACAGATATTAATGGATAGGATGATTGGGTAAGCACACTGAATTGCGAGATACTACCTGTACTCGAGCTTTGCGTGTAGGACTTTGGCTGAGCACAATAGAATATATGAGCAAGCTGGAGCAAGTGTAACGAGATCAGTGCTATAAGTAGAACACGCACCTGATAAAAGCATATCTACGCAAAAGAAATAAATTGGTTGTAAGTGCAATCTAACCGGGACTGCACGAATAATAAATTTCCTAGCATTAATATTGACTCCACACGTGTGCCCAAAAAAATCTCATATAAACGATATCTGTCTGCATGTTTAACTAAGCAGAGGTTCGCGGGTGGCAAAAGCGTAGCAGAATGCATCCGATGCCATGGGGTGGGAGTACATGTGAACAACAGATATCACCAGTCAAAATCATACAGGCACACTTACAGTGTACCTATAGATTCAAGATCGGTAACGAAACCGTATATATCATACAAGAATGGAAAAGTAAAACATATAAAACCTATGATATGAAGAAGTGAGTACCCCAATATACTCATTTCAGCATGCGGGTAAACACAGGGGCCTTTGGCACAGGTACAAGCTACGCTGATAGAAACTTGTATATTCAATATATGCGAATGAGTCGACAAATACGAGAAGCACACAAGAACAATCCGTGGCACATGAGAAAATGAAAATACTCCTGTTTCCATAGCCTGGAGACAGGGCGCCTTAACGGGGAGACAAGCTTCATCGCACATTATAAATAGAATTCAAGGACTCTCTCGCGTACATGGAATCATTGAAGCAGTGTGTGCCTACGAGGACGCACGTGAATTTTGAGACTATACACTTCAAGAGGTAGCTGATGAGAAGATCACACACACACACACACATATATATATATATATATAAATATACATATATATATATATATAAATATACATATATATATATATATAAATATACATATATATGAGTGTACGTGTGCGAATGTGTGTATATGTGTGTATGTGCGTGTATGCTTGATGACGCTTGCGTACATATGTCTATATTCTTACGTGTAGATATGTGGATTTCTATAGTGACACACATACAAATACATACATACATGCATGCAGGAATACAAACAGACACAGACAATATATATATATCACTCACACAGACACACACATATATATATATATATGTAATACATATATATATATATGTATGTGCAAATGTATAGCTAAAGCAAAAAAAGTAGAGTTCACACACAGACACACATATATATATATATATGTATAACTCACACACAGACACAGACACACACATATATATATACATATATATACATATACATATATATATATATATAACTAATATTCATCATCATCAACCATAAGAGTCACTAGATTATTGTCAATATCGAATATCCACAGAGCTGGACACACAAATTCAGGCTAACAAGTTTTCCACTGTACCGGCACAATGCTACAGCCGAATATTGTAAATCGGAAGAAAGGAGAAAGAAAGAAGAAAATATTGTACTAAGTTATAAAGTCCTGTTCGAACTTATACTGATCCCATAGAATGGATGTGTCTAAGATCATCTCTCCTCACATTAATCTAAACCACTGCGATACAATAATTTACCTGGCATTCTTTAGTACAGTAGAATCGGTGCTGACACGGACACGCAAAAACTGCAGGCGCGCCACAAACATCGCATTTAGTCCTGCATGCCATTCTGTACAGATGTTAGGTGTTGTTCCGATATAGCTTACTTCTAATATTAGACGGTGCCTATTTTTTTTACTCTGCTCATATGTCGCCTTTCAGTGTATTGCCTGTGATAGTATACGAGGAGTGTCGCGTTCGTCTATTCAGCACCGCTTCGAAAGCCGATTCGCAGTGTAGTGCTTCATATCTGTGTGCAGCTACCTATCTATTCATAGTACACTGTATATATTCACGAGTCCATGCTTTAGTTCAATATTACTGTATTAGTATGCATATACTGCAACAGGGAGCTTAGGTTGCCGGCTCAATCCGTTTATGTATAGTATCACGTAAAGATCCCCAGTTTTACACGTACGTGACAGTTATTTGAAGGCGGCACTACAGCAAATATTTTCGGGTGGCTTCTGACCTTCCGTTATATATATATATATATTTATATATAATATAGATATATAATTAAAATGAAACACAGCCTTGATTTAAAACAAAATATAGACTAAATATAACACACATTTAATTGAGCAGTTGGAATATATATCTATAAATCGAGATACAATTGCTGCCAAGTTTCAACTTTAATTACAGACCTAGTAGAGTAAACGACATTTTGTATTAAAGTTCTTTTTCGACACGGGTGAATTGTGCTTACAATTATTAGATTGATTCCGCAGAAATTGGCGCGTAATCCTCACACGACACAAATACCGATATTAGACAGACATCATGATATTCTATAAATAAAAAAAGTACATCTATGACTATGAGTCTATGACTATATACATAAATGTAAAAAAAAATAGTGTTCAATTTTTATAGCCTTCTCTTGTATGACATTAAATGAAGGCCATGTTAGAAGGCTATGTCAATTTAGGTATGTATTTACCGTTATTTAGGTTGATAGTCGTGTCACTGTTGATCTTCTATAACAATAGAGTTCGTAGATGTTTTGCGTGTACGTTGTAGCGGTATAGCTGTTGATATATATAGAAGCTATAGACGTGCCATATGTAGGTTGTAGTTTTGTAGCTGTTGATTTTCACTGAGTTCGTAGACGTGTTCTGTGTAGAACTATTTCTATGAGACAGTACGTTGAGAATATATACGTCTACTGTATATATACAAATACGATAGTATTATAAACCTCTGTTTCACTGTCTGTGCGCTGTTCCTCGCGTGAATACACCGGTCACAAAATTGGCATCTCTTTCTGCATAGGTGTCTATCGGACTGCTATTTATAACGTGTATACGCTGTATGACGATATACGTACGATGTATAAAATGATCACGCAGCATCCGTGTATCCCAAGGCACAAACATGACACAGATATTACTTTTAGCGAGCTATTGAGGACCAACACAATGGCATAGTCCAAAATTGTCTTCGTGTTCGGTCTGAATTCGATGGTTTAGAGATTATTTCATACTTTTGCGTACGACTGTGAACGATACATTCTCGTGGAATTGAAGCTAGTTTTGCTGGATGATCTTGAGGGTGCTTGTGAGGTGTGTAAATGTATTTGTACCGCATGCGAAATTAGAAATATATCTCTTGACCTGCCAGCTAATGACTCTCCAAAGTAATTAAGTTAAGGTCGATATAGACGATATACGATATTTATATTCTGTTGGAATTGTACAGGATTACACTCCGTTGTCGCAACGGGGTCGACATTCTTTATAGAATGGATCTCAGGGCAACTCCCTGAAGGCCCCAGCTTTAAATCAGTGGCTTTATCTACTTCGATCTCCACTAGAAAATGACAGAACTAGTGCGCAATACCGCTGGCCACGCTCGAGTTATTTGCTAGTAAATACCTGCTTCCACGGCATTTGCAATTGCTGGACAATGTAATTCTACTATACTAATCCATCATTGACCTATCGGGTCTTACATTGTTGTCTATCGATGCAGCTTTCGCTTTCGTACATACATTTGCAACGTTTGGGGAGAGAACGTCGCGAGATTCTCCGGATTAATATAGCTACTGTATGTACAAATTACTTCACCTCATTGGCTTCTTGGCTAGATAAAAGAACATCGGTGTGAACAGTTTTTGTTCCCCACCGGCAACAAGACCATGCGCTGCCGTTTCGAGTATGGCAGCTGTGCGCCCGGTGCCCTAATCGTACATTGAACGCGGGTAATCAATTGTAATCAGTAGCTGACAATAGCCAAACTCAATATCGATAAACATACCAGCCATACCTACTCGCGGCTACTCTCAGGTAAAAAGCATACCTTTAAGTATATAGGCTACAATTTGCACAGAAAAAGGATTAGATGTGTATTGGGGGTCACCACTAGCAATAGCTGCATACCTCAGGGGCGAGACCGAGCTTCTCCATGGACCAAATCGAGTACTTCGTAACGAACCTTCCAATCATTGATGATCTGAAATTACTCAAAGAGTAATAGCTACCTTGAAAGGGCTCATACCATGGTATGGTGGCCGTATCCGCAAGATCAGCAAATTCGATAATCTGTGTCAACCAAAGTAGGATAAATGTGTGGGGAAGATTGAACGCTGAATACTCGCATTATTTCTTCATAGACTAATCAAAGAAATCTTCTATAGGTAAACACTCTTATTAAAATATACACATACCTCAAAACCAGCCTTCTTCAGAGCTTCTAGACATTCCTTCGTCGTGAGAACATCAGGCAATCCATTGCCAATCTCTATGTCAGATTTGATCTTGACGTGTTCGATATTGTCGGGATCAAATCTGTGCGTCATGCACCAGTCGTATCCACCAAAGCACTAGGGATGGGGCACAAATCAAAAGCCAACAAGACAGAAGTAAATATTTTTCGGTGCTTGTTAACTAATGGAAATTTACATCCCAGAATAACTTAAGGCGATCTATCTTATAAAGACGCACGTTGAAGCAGAGTATTGACATTAAGAGTCCATTGCATATGTCTTACCTGACCGGGCTTCAGTAAGCGAAAAATCTCAGCATAACAGGCAAACTTATCGGGGGCGTGACAGGTGGCTTCAATCTGGTAGATGGCGTCGAAGGAGCAATTGGGCATGGGAACATGCATAAAGTCTGCCTTCATGAAATCGCAGCTTTTATCATGACCCGATTTGACATTATAGGCGGTGCCACGCTGAATCTACAAAAAAAGAGTTCAACAATGATTACATATCCGAGATTATGAACAGCTATAAACTTTAGTGCAAATAGTGTGAGCATCGCATTTTGGAGTCAAACAAACATTCTGTAGAGTCACAACTTCTTGTTCTACTCACCTGGTATGCATTGTTGTTTAAACCAGTGATGCTAGCGCCGGAGAATGATGCGATCTCACGTAACGGGCCACCAACGCCACAGCCGACATCTAGAACCTTCATACCTGGCTCCAGTCTCAATTTATGTGCCAAGTAATGTTCGTGGCGTTTTATGCTTTCATTGTGTGTTTCGCCTATCAACCGATGCGCAAAATGGAAACTCGTGCCCCAACCCCATTCATAGAAGTCAGTGGCTAGATCATAATACTTGTTAACCATGTCGGCATACATATCGCGGCGTGCTTGTATGTCACCGCCATGTTCAGTGTGGTATTTTTCGTACGCACCAATTTTTTCACTGTACTCTTCAGATACGTGTCGACACATTGTGCTATATATTTAGTGCAATTAAAGGGAATCGATTCCTTAAAGTTTTCTATTAAAAATGAGCGGGCAAATGTTGTCGCAGACTTCTCTTGTACATATGTCGAAAAGAATGAAGATTCACTGAATTGCAATTTCAAGGTGCTCAGCCGCTCAAGGCCTTTCGGCTTACAGTTGTATTTATGTACCCGCTGCCGCTGGTGCGGGGAAACTACTCTCACGTAGAGAAGGCCCGGTGCTATTATTGCTCTCGAATTCTCGATATATAAATATATTTAGATTATAGTGCGGGCGTAGGCCGTATGGACTACGGTGGCATCATCCGAAGCAAAAAAGCATAAATATCGTACCATCGTGCGTTTTGATGACCCACTGCCGGTTCTAATATGATTGGTTAGTGTTATCTGGGCGCCCAAAATGTCTTAAAACCCCACGTAATCAACTATTCCTGGACAAAATGACAGAATTTAAAACAAATAGCAATATTATTCTCAGATTTTAGAAATTCAGAAGGCTATGAAAATTGAAATTATTTTATACCATAGCCAAGAGAGACCTAGCTAGAACATAGTCTTCTGTTCTATTTTCAGAAGGCTATGATATTACATACAATGATTTTTTTGTGTAATTTTCCGAAGTGCAAATAATTGCCGCCAATGAAATTATTTTATATCTTCCATAGATGCTTGACTGTTGTTTTTACAATTCAAAAATTGGTTTTATTCTGTTAAACTTTAGAAGGCTATGATTCTGTTTTATAAATTGGTTTGTTGAAAAAAGAGAAAACAATAGAAAAAGAAAATACAAATGACCAAAATTCAATTTTATTAGAGGGCAAATATGCAAATTATTGAAAGATAAAAATATTTTGGTCATTTGTTTTGTTTAAAAAAAACCCCCCTGTAAAAAATATGTGGTGAAGGGCGGGGGGGGGGGAGGGTCTGGTTTTAAACTCTACTTTTTTTAACTCGTTGCAATTGCATCCAATAAAATAAATAGATCACAATGTACGTATAGGAGCTGTAAACATTTAAACATGGCATTTACAGCCCGGACTTTGCCGGGATATGGCAGAGGGTAGCCGTCCCGTTGTTGTAATTTCACAATCATAACGGGAGCCCGCCCAAATAGCTTGTACGATAAGTGACTGTAAAATAACTTGCAAATAATTTTACAACGGATATTGTGTATTTGTGTGTATATAGGCTCAGTTACGCATGTGCTTGCCCCCTTTTCATATGAAGACGGCTACATACCTTTTGTTGTTATGAACTTCGTCTTCGGGAGTGACTGGGACATCGAGCCAGTTGGATGTAGATTGTGTAAACAGGATTACATTCCAGTAGAAGAGCTGAGTGCATACCATCTATGTCGTCTGATATGGCATTACTCTTGTCACGTATCTTGTGGAAAAGGTCATGAGTTTTCTCAGGATAAAAGAGACCCTAGGCTATGGAATAGTGTACGGTTGGGATGCTGTATGTTGGATGTAAAGCTAAGGCACAGATTATACAGATTATTTGCAGGCTGTACATACAGTAATACGGACGTACATCGATCACCACGAGATATTGAATCTCTGATCAAGAAGACCAAAATTGCGAAGGCAGATTTTGCGGACAAAATCATGGATCTGATTCTAGTAAATAAGAAGATAAGGATCACAGATTGGGCAAAATACCGCTTTAACGACGGATATATCAGCCTTGACTTAACCAAGGTAGACTTTACGCAGTTAAAGTGTCCCTCAAGGAACTATGTATCCTGGAGACACGAGGCTGTGGTAAAAGATCAAGTTGAGAAATGGCTAGCAGATGGTGTGATAGAAATTAACTATCAACAGACGCTAGTTAACTTGGCGCTGCTAGCCGTAGACCAACATAACTCTGACGGATCGTTTTAAAAAGTCAGAGTATGTTTAGATATGAGCCCGATAAATAAATTATTCGACACATAGCTTTCACTTACCTCGTATTAAAGAGCTACTGCGAAGGATGGAAGGTGCTACAGTGTTTACAACTATAGACCTTACACAAGGATACCATCAAATGCAGGTATATGAACCCCACCGTAAATACTTTAGCTTTACGTGGAAAGGCAAACATTACCGGTTCAGAGGTGCACCTTTCGGGTTGCACTCTTTACCAGCATTCTTCCAACAAGTAATGGAAGAAATGTTTACAGACATGCCTAACGTGCAAGTCTATATAGATGACATTGCCATCTTTTCTAAGACTAAGGGCGAACATGCCGCATTAGTCAGACGAGTCCTTAAGAGACTCAACGAACAAAACTTCACGATTAACGAGAAGAAATGCCACCTCGCAATGAGCGAAATACATCTCTTTGGCTACCGTATATCTAGGGAAGGTATTAAAATCGACCCCGGTAAGGTGGAACACCAGTTAGATTGGCGAACCCTAACTACAGGAAGAGATGGCAAGGACCAGTCGTTGGCGTGCCGTTTGAAATAGCAACGGACGTCTCCGACTTAGCCCTAGGAGGAGTAATATATCAGGTTATAGATAACAAACCTAGATATATACAATTCTTTTGTCGAGCGATGAATGCTTCACAGTTCAATTATCCAACTGTTGAACAAGAGCTATTAGCCATAGTGACAGCTCTAACACACTTCCGAGATTACGTATACGGAACAGCATTTACGCTGATGTGTGATCAGAAATCTTTTCAATATATGAAAGAGATGAAACCCGACTCGCAATTACTGAGTCGCTGGCATGATACAATATCAAAGTTTCATTTTGATATAAAACATCTGCCAGGTATACATAACCATTTACCGGATATATTATCACGCTTCGTACCAGACTTTTAATAAATCCGCACGTGAGTTACTAGCCACTGACTGGAAGTGCAATCCCAGGTGGTTTGAACTGGCTCAAAAGATATATGGGCCACATACCATAGATATGTTTGCTGCACATCATACTGCACAACTGTCGAATTACAGAACTTTAAATCATCCTATGGGAGACGCCTTTCAAATAGACCTCTCCCAACATAATGCGTGGGCTAATCCACCATGGCAGTTTATTGCCCAGCTATTAAATTATGTTCATATACATAAAGCTACCATCACGTTGTGTTGCCCATTACGGAGTTAAGATCCATGGCTCAATAAATTGATCAGCATGATTCAATGCGAGCCAATATATTTAGATAGGGAAGTAGATACTTTCTTATATCAGGGTACCCGAGCCGTACAGAAGACGCCATGGAGACATACTTTTATATGTCGTATAGGTTTCATTGGAACAACCAAATGAACCCCTTCTGAGACCTTCCTTAACAAGGTCAAAGAATCAGAGATTCCACTCTCTACCCAATTGAACGTTAAGCAGTTCAAAGGCAACACAGCATTTAACGTATGTGCACAAGAAATACAATCTACTAACGACACTGTTAAGAAGCGTCAGTCTCTAGCTAGGACTCTGTTTAATAACATAAAGCCTAAGCCCGAGGTCTTTCAAACCTCATTTTTAAAGGGATTAGTGAAAGACAATCCTGAAGCGTATACACCTATAATGCGACTATTTAATAAGTCAGGTGTATCCAACGCACATGAGCGCGATTCTGACACTCATGCAAAAGCAGGACAGGAGTCTGAAAATACTACAGACTTAGAGACCACGCAAATGGATTCTCAACACCCTACCTTTATTCTGGAAGAGTGGAAGGATAAAAACATTATTGCTTGGCTAAAGCAACAGCATAAGCTGAAGCACCAGAACGTAGTAGAAGCACTCAAAGATGCTAAGCGACATGGGATC